TAACTTAAAACACGAGCTTCTAAACACAAGTGCAAATTATGTTGCTCTTTTATTTTAATAGAAATTTTTTGTTGTTGTCATGAAATGTGAAGATTATAATTTATATTTTGTTTATACCAAAAGTAAATGAAAGCACTTGTGTACAAACTTTGATGAACTTATTTAGTTAGGGTAAACTAATAATTATTTTTACTGTTGATCTTAATATTATAAATATAAATAAATATAAGGCATAAAGCTTAAACAATTCCAGTAATATATGTATGGCCAACCCATTTACACAAAATGCGATATTAGTCACGTTCAAGATCAAACTCTTTACATTGAAATCTGCGGTTTCAGGTTTGCCGAAGGGCCGGGCATTGACCTTAAGGCGCCAGCGCGCATACCGCAAGTAAAAATAGACCGCAGCCTGCGCACGCGTTTCAAATGTAGTTGCTAATCGGGAATGCATGACCGGAGAAATGCCTTGAGACCAAGGCATCGTGGGCAGGATTTTTAGATTTTCTCTACTTGAAGCTGAAATCATAATTTATAACCTTATACTTTCGTCGAGATAAAAAACCTAAATGACAACCTAAACCTTCCTAAACGACACTAACTATGAATCTCTTGGGTTAAGTGGTAGGTACACTAAAGCAATCCTCTAATTAAATTCGTAAGTGTTAGATTCCGAGAACTTACGGTAAAGATTCTTCTAAGCTCAGAAGTTTTCCACAAATGTTGGTGAAATTGAAACTCGTTAGGTTCTACATAAAATAGTTTAGGAATTTTCTTGAATTATTTATTATTTGAAAAATGATTTTTAAACTACCCAATTAACGTCCCATTTCTGGACACAGGCGTCCCTTCAACACGAACATTCATCACGATCATTTCACATCACGAATTTCACATGTCTTTCGAAAACTTGCTAGATTCATTCAGGCATGAAGGTTTCCTCAAGATGTTTTCCTTCACCGTAAGATAAGTGGTAATCATGTTAGAAATGATTCGCACAAGAAAATCTCAGAGGTGCGAGACCCGGGATTTGAATCGTTTCACACGGTTTTCCAAGCGAGCGCGTTACCATTGGGCTACTTCTACCTATACTGCCACTGTCCCTCCCACTCCTTATAAATCCCTCTCAATTGAATTGAATCTTTTAAAAAATCTTTAGGAAAAAAAAATCTCGTCGTAGTTAAATTAGAAATTTATAAATAAAACCTAATTAGATAATAGTTCTATTATCAGGTATAAGGAATATCTTCACTCGTTATATTTGACGATAAAACCTAATATTATACGATAGACAATATAGCGGCTTTGGACAATAAGAATTAATAAGTCACGCAATCGTCAAAGGGATGTCTCAGTCGGCGTGACGAAAGGCAATGTCACGTAAGTAATACATAACCGTTTTCAATTAACATACAAAGGCAGCTCGCCCACCGAGGCTTGGGCATAATTAATTCTCGACTTACCTTTTACGGGTCTAGATCTCAGTCAATACCTTTCGAGAAACTTATCTAACTCTACAATATACGGGCGGTTGAATAAATCGATACTAATTTAAATAATATTAATTCACTATGCCGAATGGTAGCTAGAGCATAGCTAAATGTATTGCGTACCTATTCTATTTTTTATAATACATACTTACAAGTTAAACAAAACTTATTTCATATTGCTTGTATGTTATAATAGCTATGTAGTACTAAAAGACGTAGAATTAAAAATGATTGTAAACTCTGTAGATTTATAATATATCTTACTGCAGTACGTTTACGAAAAAATGGAGAAACCGTGTTGAGCCGTATCTCAACATCCTGTTCAACTATATCCAAATCAAAGCGTGCAATAAAAGAATTTACTGCTTTAGCAATTATAATAATCAATCATTACTCAGATTGGTTATGCGTTTTACGGGAAATTGCTATCGATTATTACCACTTTAAATAAAAGTCCAAGACCTAAATACTTCCTAACATTAAGGTATGAATCAGCCAAACTTCGCGTGGACTCGCAGATTTACACGCAACTCTAACCGGTAGCATTGAGGTGAGGGTCTAGCTCCCAAAACATATCGTGAGATACACGTAAGAGGCAATGACATGAAACCGGTTGAGTGTCTTTGAATACCGTAAGGGTACTTGCGTAGTTTTAGAAGACTTAATGGTTACTATGATTTCATTTTATTATAATAACAGTACTCGTACATGGTAAAACTGCGTTTTTCTTTTATTGTAATAGACATGTTGTAAACCTGTATAACATTTACAAACTAAATACTTTTAAAACCATTTGTCATTACATAACGTTTTTGCTTAGAAGAAGATATTCTAATTCAATCCAAGTTATGATGGTGAGTACAATTAAATCACTCTCACAATATATCAAAGCTATTTGCTTCAAACGACATGAGCAAGTATCGAGAGATTTTAATTTCACGCCAGTTATTTCTTGACGATTTCATTATGTGAATCATATGATCTGAATCTCCAATAGAACAATGGCAGTCTCACGGGTTGTCTCGGTGAATATAAAGGTCTGGTTCAAGGCCTAAATTACTCTTTGTTAAAACTATAATATTTTCCTATTCATTTGCTGATGTCACTAGGAAATGACACAAGGAACTATATGACACGTTAAAGTTCTTGTATTACATAATACTAAGAACCTAGCAATGATTGCTATTTGCAAAGTGATGTATCTTGAAAGTATCTACATATCTATTAAGTTACGTACTTTGTAATCAGCTTCATAAAAAATAAAGCCCATATTGAAACTTCTTTATAATATCTACAATATCATGCAACAAAATAATGGTAAATTGAATTACAACGTTAAGAATAAATATTCTTTAAACTAGCGTTGCCCGCGACTCCGCCCGCGTTTAGATGACCAAAAGCCAAATTCTTAGGTTTTACATATTATTATACTCTTACATTGCAGTCTTTGTACTTTTTCTCAAAAATGAGACATTTTCCCGCGGTATAAAGTCCTATATGTTGACCTGGATAACCAGTTATCACCATACCAAATTTCATCAAAATCCCTCCAGCGGTCTTTCTGACAAAAATTCTAAAAACTTTAGATTCTGCCTCTGTATCGATAATAATGTCTTAATATCTATTTCAATAAGATTTTCCAAAAAAAATATTTATTGTACAGATTCGGCTTAGTTACAATTTTATTATATGTATAGATTAAAATTTTGAGCACAATTCCTTAGGTACAAATATTTTCTCTGTCGGGTATAAATTTTTTTCCATAACATTCAAATTCAATGTTACATTTAGGTCAGCAGACGAGTTGGTAGAGTCACAAATAAATACGTATAACATTTAATTGCGATCCAATAAAAATACTCAAAAAGCTTGCTTTTATATTATTTACACAAACTTTTTGAATTACCGTTTTTAGGATTCGTGCTCTGATATTTTATTTATTTGAGAACAATACCACTCATATTTGAGTTAATTCTGCTGAAACAATGGCATCTGATGGTGCAGTCGATAGACACTGTTGAACCAACCTTTTGAGGTCACATCTCAATTGTCAAACTAAGATAAAAGGCACTTCCTAACAAAACTACATCACTCGCTGATGATAAACAACAGTATTTAGTTTAAATATTAAATTATACCTAATGTAATAATAAAAGATAATAATGATTTTGTTTTTGTCATTAGAACCCCGAATATACCAAAGAAGATAATCAAATTGGACAGTATAAATAACAAGCTTGACATTGATGGTATTTACCCATATTTTTTAAGTTCGAGAGTCCAGATTAATGAGGTTTTCAAAAACATATCAACATCTGATATCAAAACACGGAGTATTAGTTGGAGTCGATAACAAAAAAAACCATTTGAGCTAAGGCTTTACATAGAATGATTTATTAGCGATATTGGATAGTGTAAATATTGTGTTTCGACAGTCTCTCATGACGCCACACGCCTACATCCGACCAGACAGTTTGGTGAATAGGACATGTCCAATGTCATTTTCAGGTGGAAATGACACAGTTTACTTTTACTATGTTTTGCATAAATTAAAGGTCACATGTTTGTTAGATTTGTTACTGTTTTTGACAAATATGTACGAATTACTAATCTCACAATGGAAATAATGTGTTGCGTAATGCATTCATTATATTTAGTATTTTCGGATATTCATGATAGAATATACATATATTAATTAATCTATACATATAATAAAATTGTAACTAAGCCGTTTTTTGGAAAATTTTATTGAAATAAACATTATTATCGAGACAGAGGCCGAATCTATAGTTTTTAAAATTTTTGTATGTCTATCTATTACCGCATCACAGAAAAACCACAAGACGGATTTTGATGAAATTTGGTACGGTTATCCGGGGTCAACATATAGGATACTTTTTACCGCGGGAAAATATCTCATTTCTGAGAAAAAATACAAAAACTACAATCTGTGCGGGAAGATATATAGAGTATAATAATATGTAAAACCTAAGAATTTGGTTTTTGGTCATCTGAACGCGGGCGGAGCCACGGGCAATGCTAGTAATTATATATTAATTTAAATTAAATAATAATATATTTCAGACTATATTATGTTATACTTTAATTTTAAACACTTATTTTTATTTGTTACAGCAGAAATGATAAACTCGAATATCGACTATGTGGAGACATGAATATGCAGGATGCTGTATGAAAGTGTCGAGATGATACACGTAAGTTAATTTTTTTAACTAAGCACTTTACATAAAGCAAGCAATATTTAAAATTAAAATAAATCAATATTAGAAGGCATTAAGGTTTTTTAGAAATCTAAATCAACTAAAAAATTAAGTTGTCTATAAAATTTCTGTGTTGTAGGAATAATACCTATAAATTTTATATTATTACTTTAATTATACTAAATATATTTTTATTTAAATTTTTTTTATTCATTTATTAGTGTTAAGAATGTCACAATCGGCACTGGGCTTAGGCGGCGAGCGGCGCTACTCAGTGCCCTCTAATCCAATGATGCATGATCCAAGGGGCATGCACTCTGAAGATCTACACGCTTGGTCCATATACAGGTATTACATTATATTTATGAGTCATGATAAATATTTTTACTGTTATAAAATTTATAATAATCAAGGGTCGATATTAAAAAAATCTTGGTTTATGTTTGTCTTTCCTCAGATGTAGAAAAGGGCTTTTATATTCATGAAGATATGATATAATTATGAATGTTAATTTATAGAAATAGCGAATATATCTTTTAAAAAACAAATTCATAACAATTAGTAAAAACATAAAATTTAATATAACATTCGCACAGATTCAATAAGAGATAAGTTATGAATTAACACATTTACTTATTATAATTTGTGCTTTTTTTTCTTTTAATTAAATTCATAACTCAAGTTTAATAAAAAGTATAATTATTTAATCTAACCGTATTTTATTGTTATTAATAAATAAAAAACTGAAATAATATAAATTGTTTGCAGGCAAAACCTAAATTCCGATTTTACCGACAGTGCACTCGGTAGCACTGACAAAAGTCCTTTGCCATATGGAAATTTCCAGTTACGAGACACCACAGTTCAATCTATTCTTTCTCACCCTCGATATGGACCCAAGTAAGTGCTAAAGACCTAAATACTTCAATTACTACCAGTTAACATTCTAAAGCTATATGTAGTAAATGTTATATCTGTATTATCCAAAATGGTTCATATTTATTTTAACATTCTCCATAATCATTAATAGTATGTATCGCAATATACAGGTGTGTGGTTTTATGTTTCCTTTATTTAAATACGAGTGTAAAAACTTTATTATAAAAGTTTTATGAAACTGTGTTTCATTCATGTACCTACCTATGCATTTTATGAAAATAATATTATTCTGTTAACTTTCGGTAAATATTTAAGATTTAAATTTTAATATAAGTAGTATATATATACATTAAAACATCTTAAACATATTTCTTCCAGATCAGCTCTCGGTTCCAATATGTACACATACCTTAAGTTCGGCTTGCCGCGTGTGTTTCCCCCCAATCATAACGGCTCACAGAGATCTGGAACGCCCAAACCGAAAACCTCTATTGGCAGCGGCATGAAATCTGTGCCGAGGTATATAATTATCAACTAAATAAGTATAATTATAAGTTAGCTAGTCGGCTCTTTTAAAATTCCACTGTTGAGTCTCTGTTTAAAGCAAGAAGCCGTAGTCCGCTACGTACTACTGTAGGTACGCCGTCCCATGTGGCGATTGGTGGAGTTCACAAATCACACGTATTTTAAAACAGTTAAGTTCTCGTAGACATGGAAGTTTTCTCACAATGTTTTTGTTAATCTACTAATTTAAAAAGTATTACAATTCAGTTACATAGAGCAAACGTGTTTGCTTAGTTAAATAAGCTAAAGCCATGTAAATAGGGTCATTTTTGTTTTTAGAGCTAAGTTTTTAGCTTTAAGTAAGTTACGGTCGGTAATATGTAACTTATGTAACAATTCTTACAATACTTTGTTAATATTTGTTTCCTTAGAATACAAAGACAAAGTCGAGGCGTACGCGAAAATTCCTCTGGTTACGATAGCTCGGACAATGAAACGTCTACAAATTATAAATACAGTCGGAAATACAGATCGGATCCTGACTTTAGAACGCAACAAGTTCATCCATCCTACCAGGTAAGTACATGAAATAACTTGGATAGTTGTTCCTTAAGAAAGCTTAATAAACAATGAATGAATAAAGATTGAGTTAATATAGTAAAATAATGTTAATATATCATCTTTTGGTATGGGCATTGTAATATCGTGGGTATTATAATATTATTATTATTCTAATTTATAGCAAGCCACAGGAGTGCCATTGGTTGCGATGCAGCAAGCGGGTATACGTAATGAGGGTCACTGGTCTAATTCTAGGCATAAATCTGTTAGTGAAGCCAATTTACTGGGAATCGAATCTAGGCCCAATCGATCTTATACGAACAGACGGAACAGTGTTGCGGATTTCATTCCTGATAATGATCATCAAAGGTAAACATTTTTAAATTCTATCAAATTATGGTCCGAATTAAATGTTTTTTTTAATTCACTGTAATTCCACTACCCTAGATTTATTTAAATTAAATATACATGACCATCTCGCTCCATGTGCTTTCATGTGAAGCTGGGCTCATGCTGAATGATTGGACTTAGCAGTGTTAGAGTATATTATTATGAGCTAAGTTCTGGGAGCTAACTCTGTAATTAATAACAGTTATTTTAAATAATCGTTTTGTTGTTTTTATTAACTTACTTCTAAAAGTTTAGTAGAACCACGAAAACATAGTAATTATTCGAAAAACTGTGGCATTTTTGTATTTTCACATATTGCCCTGTGTTACATTTTTACTTATAAGGAACACTTTAGCAATAGGAAAGAACTTCAAATTCTGGTGAGGTTGGTATTTTTTTTTTCAAAGTGGTCTATCTCTTTCTCACACATCGCAATCTTCTAAAAAATGTTGAATGGACAATTATCCTTAAGCACTCTTCAAGCGAGCTATTATGATGTGAAAACCTTCTACACTATCAGCTTCGTAATTAAACAAATATGAAAATGATCTCATAAGAAGATTATATTTTAGCTACCTCATGCCATCATCTCATCTCGGCGGTCGTATGTCCAAAGCGGGTAGTCACATGTCAGTGGCTCAGTCTAGAAAACATTCGACCCTACGACCTGGCGACCACTTGGATGGATACACACATTCCGCTTATATATATCCCAATTATTACGTAAGTATATCTTTATCTATTAATTTCTTGTTTTTATTAATCTATTTCACTTATGCCTATCAAAACAGCTTAAAAGCTTATATTATGGATTAACCTATATATGTATAAAGTAACACCAGGCGGGCAAAACCTAGTAAATTTTATTTTTGAAAAATATTAAGAAATGCGAGAACGAAGTTATAGTCCTTGGGCACTCTATCGATCTCTTTCAGCTACGTTTATCTACAAATAAAAAAGTCAAAATATCTATCATACACTGATGAATTTAAAAAAATATATCATACTAGACAAAAACAAATCTATCCCACGGGAACCATACATGTTTCGGGATGATTTATAGTCTATAGCCTTTCTTAATAAACGGGCTAATTTTTCAAATCGAATTAGTAGTTCCTAAGATTAGGGCATTCAAACAAACAAACAAACTCTGCCTCTTTATAATATTAGTATAGATTTACATAGCATTATTTATATGTATAAGTAATGTCAGTAACATTATTTTTATGTACACTTAAATTGCATTAGTTAACCTATACTAGACCATTGCAAGCCAATTACAATAATTACGAAAATACCAGTAACAGTTACAAATTGATTTCTTATTATATATTTTCAGGTTAACAGTTTAGAAATAACGTCTCCAGATAACAAGTCGACGTTGTTAGTTTCTGGGCTTAGTTTTGAAGTGAAGTCGGGGGAAATATTAGCGGTGCTAGCGACTTCGCAAAATGAGGCCACTGGCTTGTTGGACGTTTTAGCAGGAGTTAGAAAAGTGAGTATTATAAAGCTATTGAAAATAATTAGATTCTACGTTTAATTTACATTTAGACAAGTGCATTTGTTGAAAATATTTTTTATTAATTTTACTATCCCAGCATTGGAATTTTATTGTATAACATTTATGCCAATGCTTTTTCCGTTCTTAAAAATGTTCTGGTTTTCGATTAAATTTCGCTAAATTTATAAAAAATATTACTAACTTAGTCTTTGTTTAAGAATTATAGAAAAAAATAATTCCAAAATCATTAATTTCTTATTCTTTTCTTTCTAGAAATTAGCAGGTGATATAGTCATAAACGGTCAGCCAGTGGCCTCGTCCACGCTACGTAAAATAGCCGCATATGTTCGCAATGATACTTCTTTATGCCCTTCCATGACTGTGGAACATACTTTGCGTTTCCATGCGGCGTTGAGGAGACCGAGAAATAATCATAACCAAGTTAAAATGGACGATAGAGATCGAGTAAGCTATAAATTAAATATTTGCAGTGTGAGGGGAAGTGCGCCTTATTAGGGTAACTTCAAAAATACAATTTTCAATAGCATTACCTAACTACTCAGATAAGTAAAAGCGTTTGTGTATTATATACTCTATTTTCTCACTCTTATAGTTCAATGCGACGCCGTTTGACACAATTAGATGCTATTTCTATGATATAAGACAAAAAAAACTATGAAATAGTCTAATTCAATCTCGTGATTTACTTTTGTTATTAAGTTTTTTTTTGATTTGTGCAATTGCATTCGTCTAAGTTAGTTACAGATATAAAATTATATGCAGAAAAAAAAAATTAATCGAGTCCGTACAAAGTATAATAGATGATAATATTGCAAAAGCGGATAATATGGCAATAACGGAAATAATGGAATTTTCTAGTTATTTTTGTACCTTATTCACTGCAAAGTACTCGTAGATAAATATTTATAATCCAATTACATGCAAAAACGTATTAATATTAGTTTTATTTTTGATTAATTTCAGATAAATCTGCTAATAGAAGAACTAGGTTTAGAGCAAGTGAGAGATACAAATGTAGGACGATTAACAAGATCCGAGATCCGTAGACTAAATGTAGCCTGCCAGTTGTTACAGGATATGGCGATATTAATTTTAGATCAGCCCACTAAAGAAATGGATATATTCGATACGTTCTTCTTGGTGGAATATTTAAGGAATTGGGCAAGCACCGGCCGAGTTGTTATAATGTCTTTACATCCGCCTACTTATGAGATATTTGCTATGCTCACTAAGGTTAGTAAAATCATTAAAATGAGTAAAGTATACATAATTGAATATTATTAAATTCCATTAATTCTTGTTCTTCTTGAACCAAATATATTTGTAACTTTCAAATAAGGTTCTACTTCCGCGACTCAATGTAATACGCCTACTTTATGTCACAATAAATACATATATACATATTTTAATTACTAAAGCAGTTACGCGAACTATGAAGTGGTAATGCTCGAAAATTACGAGACCATGAAGAATTGTTTGTCTGGAAAGTATACAAACATGTTAAAAAATATTTTATTAATTATATTGACCTACTTCACCTACCTAAAGGCTACATATTCAATTTGGGTCTGTTTTTTGTGTACGTATGTTACTAAATATCTATAGCAAACTTGAACCGATTTTGTGTGTGTTGATATTTGTTGATAAATGGGTTTTATTTAAATAAAACCCATAAAATCTATATAAAAAGTAAAGAAAAAAATGTCTGCCATGAGTTAGAATAATGGCTTTTCAAAGTGTCTTTGTAGACGACATCATTTATTTAAAAGTAATTACTTAAATTTATTACATTCAGGTTGTTTTAATCTCCGCCGGTCGGACGATGTTCAGCGGTTACAGAAGAGACATGTTGCCATATTTTGCCTCAATAGATTACCCTTGTCCTGCCTTCAAGAACCCTTCTGATTACTATTGTAAGTATTTCATACAATTCTAGCCTAAGTTTCATTGAAGTACTTTGAGTGTCTCAACTTGAGTAGTAGAGATATAAAGCAAAATCACACTACCACTTTTTCTTTAGTCCGAGTGAATTATATAGAAGTTTCCCTTATTTTTTTTCAAAGCCAAGTTACGAAGTAATCTCTGGCAACATCAAGAATTGTACCTACAGCAAAATAACGACTACTATTTTGGCGGCTTCTACATATTTAAGTGGACTACTTTGTAAATCCATACTAATATTATAAATGTGAAAGTGTGTTTGTTTGTTTGTGTCTTTCTTTCACGTCGAAACGGCTTGGCATATTGGCACGATTTTTTGTGTGGAGATAGTTGGAGGGTTGGAGAGTGCTATAGGCTACTTTTACCGCGGGAGATTATCTCTTTTCCACGGGAAAACACGTTATAATATAATCCAAAAAAATATTTATGATCACAATTACTTGAAACTTGGTAGTAATACTCTTCAATACAATTAATTAAATACGTGTTTTAGCATTTTTCGAAATTCATCCCATACGGGGGCACAATAGTGGATGAAAGTTGGTATGAAACCTACATTTTTAGAGTTTTTTTTGTAGTTTTAGCGCGAGCGAAGCCGCGAGTTCTGCTAGTTATATATAAATAATCTAATACGTCATCAAATCGATTGAGATACTATTTATGAGCTGTCAAAAAGCGATTATACTTCACTTATTCGATAACTCCCCCTGGTGGACCTAGTGACATTGCACAACCTGTCAGCGGCGGCCTCATTATATAGTCCGTTTGTCTGAGAGCTCACACGCTGTTCCCGATGGAGTCCCCAACTATTTATGTTCACTCTGAATCTCACAACCTGTCCCTAATGGGCTTGTGATTTCTTTGGCGGACTCCATCTATCTATGTTAAGTGATTAGTGTGTGTCACTCGTGGTGCGTGTCCGCAGTGGACCTGGTGACGCTGGACGACCTGTCGGCGGCGGCGCTGCTGGAGTCGTCGGGGCGCATCGAGGCGCTGGCGGGCGTGCCGCGCGCCGCGCCCGAGCCGCCGCCGCCCGCGCCGCTGCCCGCGCCCGCCGCGCGCTGCACGCTGCCGCTGCAGATATTCGCGCTCACAGAGTCAGTGTACACTTATTGTAATCAATATTCTTTATTGCACTTTAGAAACAAAATATAGAAATTGCATATTAAAGGAGAAAGGCAAAGGTGGATATTCATTTAAATCTAATAATGCACACACGCACATACAGTAGGTAAATCGCCTTTGAATTTAAACGAAACTAAAAGTATGGTAACAAGTTGACTTGTTTTCATTAATGGGATATTACTAATGTATTATTTCCACTTTTATTAGCGATTTTTTTCTTGTTGTTGGATTGTTGACAAAACCACCTTGGAGGTATAAATTCTTTATTAAGAATATGACAGTTTATATTCCGCTAAAATGTCGCGTAACGTACATAGAAAAGCACTCTCGAATTACGTACCTTCATTTTTCATTTCAAGTCGATTGAAAAGAAACAAACGTTAAGATTTCAAGAAAAAAAAACCTCATTAAGGGAACTCCATGTGTCTTTTTTTTGAAAAGTTATTATTTTAATTTATTAATTGAATCCGCACTCTTTACTTTTCAGAAAAACTTTGCTGTACACTCAAATGAGCACTGTATCGAACGTGATCACTCGGGTGATGATCGCCGCGATGATGTCTCTCATCACCGGGACCATATTTTGGGATTTGCCCTCCACTGATACTAAGGTAATGTGTTTTGGCTTTTAATATTTAGTATCGCTTAAATTTCCAAACTTAGCGCTTTATCTTTAATCTTAATTAAACTAGTATATAGACATTATTACTATATGTGCAAATAAACACAAGTTACAACTCTGTGATTTATAATTTATAAATGGTAATGTTGCAAAAATAAATGTTCAAATGTTCGATATGTTATAATCGGATGAACTTTGGTCGTCACTCACTTGGGAGTGGTGTTGAATGGAAATTGTATTTTATTGTTTATTCTATACATATAATAAAATTTTGAGCAGAATCCGTACATTAAATATTTTTGGAAAATCTTATTGAAATAGTCATTATTATCAACAGAGGTCGAATCTACAGTTTTTAGAATTTTTGTCTGTCTGTCTGAGAACGAACGCATCACGAAGAACCACTAGACATATTTTGTTGAAATTTAGTATGATGATACCTGGTCTTAAAAATAGCAATCCCATATTGAGTTTTGAATGTTGTTTTACTTGATACCAAGGCCAAAAAGAATAATTAAATAAATTGTCTGTCAGCCTGCTAATATCCGGAACCATCTAAACCGATTATAATAAATTTTAATGATGGTTACTAACGAATTGACGATTCGCGCAATAATAAAAAAGAGAGTTTCCAGTGGGAACTATTTTCGGAAAAAAAAGGTTCCCACTGGAAAAACACATAAGGAACTCGGCCGGAACCGGCCGGAAACGGCCTGACTACCGTTAGACGAATAGAGGATACGTAATTCACGGATGAGAGTTTCATAAGACCAAAGGGCGAAAGCTTTTATCTAACAACCTCAGACTAAAAGAATATTATACTTTAGTTCGAGGTAGTTAAATAATGTTTCATAAATATTAGCTAACACAAAACGACCGTATCGGCTACCACTACGCCGTGATGTGTCTCAGCGCGTGGCCGCTCCTACTGTGGCTGAGCGCGCGCGAGGCGAGCTCCACTCGTCGATACGTAGAGAGGGATATCGCCGTCGGGCTGTATTCTAGAACTGTATTCATTCTGTTTGACGTAAGTACCTCGTTTATATGCACCTTATAAAATGAACCCTTATTATCATTTCTATTTTCATGCTTGTAATCCTGTTTTATAAATATAAATATTATTTCTGTGTGGGATATTTATTAATGTTACTGGTCAAAAAGCTTTGAGTATTGATTTATTTACAGGAAAAATTTAAATGAATTTTCTGTATCTTCATGCACCAATTTTTTATGTTATAGACAGATAGACTAACTATAAGACTAAATTTTATCAGTACGACATTCTCCTTAAACAATATGTAGGTATTATATACATAATGTTGAGACTGCTTTATTTTTCAATTCGACTTGAATATCCGTACGTACTTGGCGGAAGTACCAGTAAGAATGAAGATCTGATGGCGGTATGTTTTGTGGTACACACGTGTGTACCACAAAATACCATCATCAATCACCATCCAAGATCAAGAAAATTTGAAAAACTAGGTTTATTTGTTATTATTGTAACGATTTTGTTATTTGACAGCAATTCCTGGAGGTATGGTCGGCTATACTGACGTGGCTCGCGTACCTGGTGCCGAGCTACGCCATGAGTGGGCTGTACGCACAGTCGCCGGGCTCGTTCGACGGGTTTTATATTTATTTAGGTATTGTTTTATTTTGTTCTCTTTTTATGGCTTTTAGGTATTGTTACTTTAATTATTTGTCATTTATTAAATATAAAATTAAAGTAAGGAAATAAGTTTAAATATAAAATAAAGTAGAAGCTCATATCACTGTTTATATTTTCGTTTTGTATTATTTTATAAAACGTTAGTTTATTAATATTTCATATAATAAAATATAAAATATCTTTTGCATAATTTAAGTCATTAAAAAGTGAAAAATATCCTCTAGGTTACATGCTGCTGTACCTAATTAGCACACAAATGTTGTGTCGAGCGTCCATTTTCCTCATACCAATGGAGAAAACCGCATCAATAGTGTCCGGTTTGTGTCTCTTACTGACCACTCTGGTAAACGGCGTGATGTTGCACCAACAAGACCTGCCCTCGTATGTCAAGTGGTTGGAATACGTTTCACCCTCCAAATGGACCATTCCAGAAATATTAAGGCGTGAATTGAGTGAATTAGCCTTGAAAAGCAGTATTAACAAAGATTTGAGATGCACTAATAAACAGGTTAGTGGGAATATAATTTGTATAGATTTCTTTAAATTATTACGTTCATTACGTAGAGTCTATCTAGCCTTGATTCTAACATCCGAAGTGTCAATGTATGGAATATTGAATGACCAGAAGTAATGACGAAGATGATGATTGAAACTAAAGTAAAAAAATAAGATAGACGAAGCGTTAAGAACTGCCAATTTTCAAATGTACTGCGGATATATTATAGAATATCTACACATAAAGTTTTACTAAATAAATGTGTTTTTATTTTTAATTTGATTCAATTCAAGCAATCGCCTTTAATATTCATATTTTTTAAAAAGTGTTATTTTATTATTGATATGTAAATATGTTACAGAGGCAGCACTTAGAAATAATAATACAATCGCCGTGTCCTCCGCCAAACGGGACTCAAGTATTATCCAACTTTGAATATTTGAGAGGCGACAACTTATGGGAATGGACTGAAGACAGTTTTATGATAGCATTAGCAATTTTCTATGTAGTATTTGCTTTAATTGGTATGTTTGCTTTCGTATTTGATTGCACAAAGTACTCGAAAAGTAAAGAAAAAGCTTATAGAAAAGGTCATAAAGTGACAGCAAATACGCCTTAAATGTCAACTTGACATATCGATTCCCGCCAATAACGGTGCTAAAATGTAAAAGTGTTAGTGATTTTTTCTTCATGGTTTAAATATTTATTATTACTTATTAGTCGCATGAGTATGTTGATTGTATTTGAAATTCGATTCTTTTTATTGCAGTCTTTATACTGTGTAAAATTTGTATGAATTTTTTGTGCTTGATTTTGAGAATGTTTAGGTACTTGCGATTTTATCTAAGTAATTTACTTATTTCTTAATAATATTAATTATAATTAATTAAATGTACAAAACGATTTTGATGTAGTAAATGTTTTACTCATTTTATTCCTAGTTGTAAAAGAAGGCTGATTATTCCCATGTCTTCCGTCCGTAATATTTAGAATTAAATTGCCTTATTCGAATAATTGTTTTTGTATAAATATAATAATATGTATTTTCAATGGTGTCTAATTAATGTAAGACTTGTATCACAATAATAATGTTAAGTTTTTTATTAAGTAGCAACAAAAAAGTTCGAGACAGTTAATGTATATAATAAGTATATAAAAAATACCAGTTAAGCTCAATAGATTAATATTAAACAAAAATTTCTTAAAGCAACATTGCTAATAGAAAGTTAGAAAAAAATTAAATAACTAAACGGAAATGATTGATTTTTCCTATTAATTTTTATGTTATATTTCTATTAGTTTTTACTAGAGATCAAATTATAAGGTATACGCAAATTTTGCAAGTGTTTGCTGAATATTGCATATTTAACTTTGGCTAAGTGTTTTAAGATTTAAGAATCTTAAATATTTTCGTGCGAATTTTAAGCATTTCCTTGCATGTTTTGGCATTTTAGTGTCACATATAATCTGGTCTTTAGCTATAACCAAAAGCGATTGTACAATTTATTGTATTGAAAATTGGTTCAAGCCTAATTTTAGGATTAACAAAGTACTTAAACATACTATTCTCGAAATTAAATTTATATGAGTCTTGAAATAGAAAAGCTAGCCTTAGTTATTAAGGTATTTTGTACCTATATATTACGAAATCGAATTAAATAAGCACTGCCTTTGGAAAATGCTCATGGATTTTTTAATTAAACGCAAAAATCGAGTTCAATATTAATAAAGTCAATAATTAGTTATTATTTTAAGTATATATTTTTTATTTTTACGAAAATATTATGATAATAAATGAGGAGCCATAATGTTAGACAATATTATTGTTAAGTTACCTTTGCATACTTTGGAGAAATCAAATAAATATAGATGTAATAGTATTTGATTGTTTTATTTTATAAACACAGTCTAATTTACAAATATAATATAAATAATAATTAACATGAAATATTAACATATTTTTCATGATTTTGTATATTCAATTCATAAAATTACTTTATTACTTTACTAATTATATTAAAAAAGAAATAACGTTTTTATTAAAAAAATTATATATAACTTTTATGGGAATCTACCCAATAATAAAAAAATCTCTATTTTAATTTCAAAAGCGTCAAATATACGAAATAATAACAAACTTGCGTCATTACATACTTACATTAAACTATATATGGTTCATTTATAGATTTAACACAGAATTTTGTATCTTCGAGGTGAGTTTGAAAGAATAATGAAATATTAGGCAAAATAAAATATACCGTATACAGTAAATATACGGTCTAATTTACATTGGTCAACTATTTTATATTAATTTGATTTTCTTTAAAACTCTCCGCATAAAGATGACTTTATTAAAAAAAATCATAGTATTCTAAATTTTGAAACGTTATTAACACTCATAATTAAACTTTTTTTAACGAATTTCTTTAGTAAACAATGAAATTCGCATATCTAGAAAGTTTAAACTCATTTCATTCTTGATGGGAATTCCAATATAACTTGAAACGTTAATTTAAATATTTATAATATCTAACTTTTATATCTAATATATAAATATCTCGTGTCACGGTGTTTGTGGTCCAACTCCGCCGAAACAGCTTGACCGATTTTAATGTTTTTTTTATATATTTGTTACGTATGAGAATAGGTCGTAAAGTATTTTTCACCCTCCTACCTCCACCCCCCATTTTTTAATCGCGATTTTAGTACTCTTGTATAAACAATATGCAAATAATGTAATATTATATATTAATAATGTTAATTCCCTATATAATATAAAGCAAGAGTTTTTTTAGTAGATTGAACGCGGGCGAAGCTGCGGATTTTGTTAGTAATAGATATAAATATCAACTTGCTTTATCATTACTATGAAAGATTTCATGATATCTTTTGCATATTTCACAAACACACGGCATCACTTTCATGCTATAACATTTCAATTTAGGAGTGTAGATATCGTTATTGTTGTAATTTTCTTGGTCTATGTATCGACTTTCAAGGATAAGCTTTTGCAGTTGTTCTTCCTTTGTTTCGGGATTTATTGCTACTTGTTCGTTAATTCTGAAAATATATAACAAATGAGTTTTATAAAAATCATCCTCACTTCGCTCGGGTTCGTCCCTAGACAAAAATAAATCTATTCCACGGGAACCGTACATTTTCCGGGATGATATTATAGCATATAGCCTTCCTCAATAAACGGGCTATGTAATGAAAAAATAATTTTTCAAATCGTATTAGTAGTTGCTGTGATTACCGCGTTAAACTAAACAAACCAACTGTCTCTTTATATTAGTATAAATAAATAAATAAATAAATATGTTGGGACATTAACACACAGCGCCATCTAGTTCCATGGTAAGCTACGAGGCTTGTGTTATGGATACCAGATAGTTGATACACTACACATATATAACTTTAAATACATACATATTATAAATATAAACACCCATGACTGGAGTACAAACAATAGTCATCACACAAATGAATGCCCCCAGCGGGACTGGAACCCGCGAACGCTGGCACAGCAAGTAGGGTCAGTATAGATGCTTAAATACGCTTAATTGCCACTGATAAAATCAGTACACAAAATAACTACACAGAACGTCCTGTATTGAATTGAAACTATACCTACTAGTTTATTAAAAATATATATGTACTTACTTTAAAATATTTCTGGTAAAGTACATAATATTAGCATTAAAAGCTTGATAACGTAGATACTTATACCGCAATAATACTTGTTAGCGTGTTCATTATTTTTTCACAATATAACGACTCGGCGAATTTAGTCAAATAAGAAATGGATAATTCTTGTATAAAAATGGCTGCTAAGAACACAATGAGTTACGACTAAAATTACATTATATTTATATGGTCTTATTATTCTATAGTCTATATACTACCACAGATCATATAATACAATACTATTTTATTATTTTAGTGATTTTATTATTTTAATCACTTCCGTTAAGTTTCACTATATAAAATGGCGTATTTCTATCTAAAATATACATTAACTACTTATGCGTTAAATACTAATATCGATTTTATTCAAATTTTGCACCTTTCATCATCAGTGTAACTACCATCTTGTGAACTCTTCCCATTCCACGAACTATTAACATCGACAGGACACACAGTGTACTGGTGCCCACCAGCACGGCCCTTACATAGCGGCGACTTGGGAACTAGCGACGCACGGGACTTGGACAAAGGACTGGTTTGGAAATAATAGTAATAGTTTTAAAACTATCTTGGTAGTCTAGTGCCTAGCATGTACAGCTGCAGATCCGGAGGCCCTGGGTTCGAGTCCCGGGTCAGCCCAACTCATTTATTGAGTTAAGAAGAGTAATAACCCGGAGTTGGGAAGTTGGCGGTTTTTCACTACCGTGTCTCGGAGAGCACGTAAAGCCGTCGTATGTCGAATTGTCGTCCTAACGGAATATGTAAGGGAGCATCCATTAATTACGTGAGACAATATTGGCGATTTTTCGATCGCAATGAATATTATAATATATGATTCAGCCATATTTTAGTTTTAGAAACATTTTACTTAACAACCCCGACTTCTCGCAATTTTACACTGTTTCTTGCGGAAAAAAAATTTGCAATTGCCGAGACTATCCCACCCCTTTCCTCACGTGAGATTGAGTGAGATTTTGCTCGATCCCCTCCCCCTCTAAACGCCTCACGTAATTAATGGATGCCCCCTAACAACTATGTAGAATAACAAGAATAGAGTGAAGAATTTTGTCTGCACGTACACTTGCGCAGTTGGCTCTCAGTGAGATTGACCGCCGTGGACGGAATTGGTCGGGAGGACGCAGGAATCTATTATTTGAATTTGAGAAAATATTAGCTCTATACCAATATTTAAATACTTCGCTATAAATGTTATGTAGACCTTTTCTCTTATATTAGTTATCATATACCAATTAATTTGTTCCAACTACTATTATTAATGTTCTATATTTTTGACGCTTTAAGCATTTCTTATGCATACTTAAATACTTACCTATACATATAATAACATTCTTCCTAAGCCGAATTTGTACATTAAATATTTTTTGGAAAATCTTATTGAAATAGTAATTATTATCGATACAGAGGCCGAACCTTTAGTTTTTAGATTTTTTGTTTGTCTGTCTGTCTATCTGTTACCGCATCACAGAAAAACCACTGGATGGATTTTGATGAAATTTGGTATGGTGATAGCTGGTTATCCAGGTCAACATATAGGATACTTTTTACCGCGGAAAAATGTCTCATTTCTGAGAAAAAATACAAAACTGCAATGTAAGAGTATACTAATATGTAAAACCTAAGAATTTGGTTTTTGGTCACCTGAACGTGGGCGGAGCCGCGGGCAATGCTAGTATTTCATATAATTCAGCCTCTAGTTATTATCAATAGGTAAATACTTACTTCGGACATCGGCAGGAGGAGTGCAGTTCGTCATTTTGTTCGAAACTACAACACGATTTGGAGCCGCCAGATCGGGAACGCGATCTTGATCTCGACCGTGGCGACATTTTACTTTTGCTGCATTTATTTCTGAAATTATATATGAACTTAATAACTATATAAATTTATTAACGTCCTACAGCTGGGCACGAGCCCCCCCTTAGTCCAAGGCAGATCAGGCCATTGTCCGCTATGCTAGCTAAGTGCAAGTGTCTTTTAAAAACTATTTAGGTTCTTGCAGACATGCAGGTTTCCTCATAATATCTCCTAAATGAGTGGTAATCATGTTGAAAATGATTCGGACATGAAAATATCAAAGATGCGAAACCCGGGGTTTGAACCCGCTGCACTTGTTTTTTCATACGAGTGCGTTACCACCGGGGAACGCGTTACCATTGCTGTAAGAGAGTATTGATTTTTTTAGAACTTAAGCACTTAGCAAAAATAAAACCTAGAAATGTCTTAACTTAGCTAAGGGGAAAGATATATTCATATCTTTTCCTAAATTCTGGACTATTACAATTAGTTTTTTACTTAATTTACCTATGGTACTGGGCCGAGTGGCAAACTTGTTTTTGTCTAGAAACATCAACAATAGGTCTCGGACTGCAATGACAAGCTTTAACTTTGGCGGCATTAAGTAAGTTACAGGCTTGATTCCATACCTCGTCTATACGCACTTTTGTGGCTATCTCTATTTTGGGAGACAGTATTCCCTAAAAAAATGAGATGTTTGAGAAAAAATGGCTTTAATAGATCTATCATTTAGGTATGTAGAGAAAAAAAAATTGTTTGAAAAGTAAATTTGTCTAGTTACTCGTTTCTGTAGCTGTAGACCATCTCTATTTAAAAAAATCTATATACACATAGGTATATAATAAATATTGATTGGTTTCTATGTGGCTTTTGTGGCTTTTGATGAGATCATATTGGAGTTTTTCAATAGGGATAAGTGGACAGTTTCGAGACTCGGATGTAACTAAGACATTTCTGCACATTGCTTTACATTACATGCAGTAAACAATGAAAAATCGGATAAAAAAACAGATTTTATTTTGACAAAAATGAATAATTTTTATAATAATAACAAACTTACTGGAAAATCTTTTGATCTTCTCATAAGTAAATCGACACCGTCAGTAGAGCACATATTAGGTGGAAAGAGAACATCATTCATAGCACCAAGGTATTGGGCCAATATAACACACTCCCCACTTTCACAGTCCTCACTCCATTGTACAAGCTCACAATATATAGTTTCATCCTCTGAAATTGAACTTTTTATTACTATTATTCAAAACTTATAGACAAATATAATTGGTAAAGGTATTCTTTGATAGGTTTGGTTCAGTTTGTAGTGACCTCACTTACTGTGCGAGCGGTCGCGGGTTTCAGTCCCTCTGGGGACATTCATTTGTGTGTTTATACGAATGTTTGTACGCCCGTCATGTATGTACCTATAATATGTATGTATTTAAAGTACGTACGTACTTCGAAAGAAAACTGCATGAAAAATCGAAAACACTCGTTTTCCCAGACACAAGACTAATCTAGATCGATTTTTCGCCCCTGAAAACCCTCACACACCGAATTTCTACAAAATCGTTAGAGCCGTATCCGAGATAAATATACAAGAATTACTCGTTTAAAGGTATTAGATATTGTGTGGTGCATCAACTATCTGGTATCTATAACACACACCTCGTAGCTTACCATGGAACTAGATGGTGTTGCGTTATTAATGTACCAACATATACCAACATATTCTTTTATTTTCTATTCTACAAGTACCCATTTTATTTCTAGGAATAAAAAATAGTAATTTAAAATTTCGTTGAAATCAGTTTAGCTGTTAGAGACATTTAACAAAAATTTGTCACTTGATGGAATTTACTTATAAATGGCTATAATGTAGGTATGTCAATTGCACATGGAATAGTTCGTTTACTGCCTCGGTGGTGTAGTGGCTAGCATGTACGGCTGCACACTCGGAGGTCTTGGGTTCGAGTCCTGGGTCGGGCAGAGTTTAGTTATTGAGTCTTTCTGTATAGTAAGTCTCAGTAACAGCCCGGAGTTAGGAAGTTGGCGGTGTTTCACCCCCGTGCCTCGGAGAGCACGTAAAGCCGTCGGTCCTGCGCCTTAACTCTCACTGGTCGTGTCGAGTGGTCGGCCCACCGGAGTATGAGACTGACAGGAATAGAGAGTGCCCTTGTGTCTGCGCATACACTTTCGCACTATAATATCTCCTGCGCAGTTGGCTAGTCTCAATGAGATTGGCCGCCGTGGCCGGAATCGGCCAGGAGAACATCATCATCAGTTCATTATTATTTTTTTAATTGAAATCATAGTAAGAACTCAATATTGGGTGACTATCTAGAAATATATATATATATATATATATATATATATATATATATATATATATATATATATAATCATATAAAAACTGTTATTTATAAGAATATTTGATTTTCAATTTTGACTATTATATTTTTATCTTTCATATAATTTTAAAATTATACTAACTTAATAAACAGCATATATTGTTAAGTGCACAACTTTCTTGATATCTTTTACGAAAGTAAAATACATCTTTAAAAGTTAGTGGAAATACTGGTGGCAGTAAACAAGTTTGATAACTTGTACCCAAAGCAAATACTGTTAAGGAGACCCGCCCGTCTTGACACAGCCATACACCCGGACATGACACCTAGAAAAATTGAATTAAAATTATGATTATCTAATATGTTAGCAAATATACTGAACCTTTAAACTGAATGATAAACAGGTCATTTATTAAACCTACATAACAATAAACGTAAAAATTTAATTGACCATGAATAATCAGTAATAATGTACACTTACCTTTTGTATTTCTATTTCTATTGTTAATTCAATTACTTTAGGCATTTTAAGGTGTCACATCTCTAGAATTTGTGTCCCAGTTTTAATAAGCATAGGTATCTTATAGCAATTTTATAAAAAAATAAATCATTAAACAGTAATGGGATTTCATTTAAGATTCACTCCATTGCAATTTGTGAATTACAGAAAAAGAAATCATTGAATTAGCTACACTATGATAAGGTATTTATTTTACTAATCAAAGCATTATAAATGCGATTAATAGGTAGGTATAAAAATTGTTTAATAATTAAAATATGTTTTGAAGTCAAGCTGTTACCATAGAAACCAAAAGTCAAAACCTCAAAAAGTTCAGAAATCATAAATTTGCATTTTCTAAATATGCAATCGACAACAACAACAAGTGCATTTTTTATTTATAAATGAGATAGTTTATTATTATTTATATAGTTATTAGAAAGAAAGAAGAAATAACTTTATTATTTAATATTTAAGTAAATTATCATTTTCTGCGCGTAATAACTTGCTTCATATGAATGTTACCTCTTTAAAATATTCCTACATTTTAAGGTAAAATATTACCTAGTCACACGTTTAATTATTAAAAAAATAACTTTAAAATATTTAACGTATTCGGGTTGCTTTTTTAAAAAATTATATCTATCGACATTGAAATATTTTACTTTCTATAGATATTAAATTTAATAGTTTTTTTTTACTTGATAAGTCTGTCAGTCAGCTCTCTTGGGTCAAATTGATGGCAAAAGATATGAGACTGTTTGATCTCATTGAGCAGTCTTACTTCTTAGATAGCTTAAAACTTAGCTTATCTATACAAATAATAAAATTGTAATTAGTTTGTCGTTGTAGTCGTAGTCTTGTACTATTATAACTTAAATATTTTTTGGAAAATCTTATTGAAATAAACATTATTATCGATACAGAGGCCGAATCTATAGTTTTTAGAATTTTTGTCTGTCTTTCTGTCTGTCTGTTACCGCATCACAGAAAACCCACTTTTGATGAAATTTGGTATGGTCATAGCTGGTTATCCGAGTCAACATATAGGATACTTTTTACCTCAGACCAATAAAAAAGTATTTTATTGGTCTGAGCTTTTTACAGCGGGAAAATATCTCATTTCTGAGAAAAATACAAAAACTGCATTGTAAGAGTATAATAATATGTAAAATCTAAGAATTTGTTTTTTTTGTCATCTGAACGTGGGCGAAGCCGCGGGCAATCCTAGTTGTTAATAAATAGTAATATAATATAAATACATGAACGAATGTGGTTAATTCATGTATAAATAGCATGCGAAGCATTTCTTTAAAGTTTGTGGTAATAACTATGACTTCTTATTTCTTAATCTGTGATCATAGAGTACAACAGACATATAGACAGTTTACAACTTAAACTTTTAACTTATCGTTGCGGCTAATTAAGAAATTATGAACTTGTTTGTTATGGTTATTTTTTAAATAGTTTTTCTTTTAACTCATATTGTTTGTAGTTTGAGCAATTTTCGTTGTAAGATGTCTAAAATACCTTCAGTTGTTCACTGGTTTCGCTTGGATTTACGGTTGCATGATAATCTTGCACTTCGTAATGCCATAAATGAAGTAGGTATCTCAATTACACTTTCCTGAAAGAATTTATTGCAATTTAATTAAATTATGTTATGTACATTTAATTTTTATTTTTAGGCCGAGAATCGAAAACATATTTTAAGACCAATTTATGTAATTGATCCAGAAATAAATAATAAGGTTGGTGCGAACAGACTCCGATTCCTTATACAAAGCCTTCAAGATTTAGATTTGAATCTCCGTAAAATTAATACTCGTCTTTTCATAATAAAGGGAAAAGCTACCGAATGTCTTTCACGGCTATTTGAAAAATGGCAGGTTAATTTCTTAACATTACAAGTTGATATTGATGTAGAATTGGTAAAACAAGATGAAGTTATAGAACAAATTTGTGAGGAAAGAAATATATTTATTGTGAAACGGGCGCAACATACAGTTTATGACTTCAATAGTGTTTTAAAGAAAAATAATGGTAATATACCATTAACTTATCAAAAATTTCTATCTTTAGTTGCTGATACCCAAGTAAAAGAGACAATTGAAATAACAAAGAATGTTATTGAGGAATGCAAATCAAATGATTTCAGCTCTGATGAGTATAATGTTCCCTCACTAGATGAAGTGGGTTTAAACCATTCAGATTTATCTGAATGTAAATATCCTGGGGGTGAAACTGAAGGTTTGAAAAGACTCAATGTTTATATGGCAAAAAAGCAATGGGTTTGTAATTTTGAAAAACCAAATTCATCACCAAATAGTATAGAGCCTAGTACAACAGTATTAAGTCCATACATAAGTCATGGTTGCTTGTCTGCAAAATTGTTTTATCACAAGCTTAAGCAAGTAGAGACTGGAATGAAACATACATTACCTCCAGTATCCCTTATGGGGCAGCTTTTGTGGAGAGAGTTTTACTACACAGCTGGAGCTGGGACTAAAAATTTTGATAAAATGGTAGGAAACTCGGTTTGTACCCAAATTCCATGGGGAAAAAATGAAGAACATCTTAAAGCTTGGGCTGAAGGTAGAACTGGTTATCCATTTGTTGACGCTATCATGCGCCAATTGAAACAAGAAGGCTGGATTCATCATTTAGCTCGTCATATGGTTGCATGTTTTTTAACTAGAGGGGATTTATGGATATCATGGGAAGAAGGAGCTAAGATATTTGAAGATTATCTTCTTGATTATGATTGGTCTCTAAATGCTGGAAACTGGATGTGGCTATCAGCTTCTGCATTTTTTTATAAATATTATAGAGTGTACAGTCCCATTGCTTTTGGTAAGAAAACTGATAAAGAAGGACTTTATATAAGGAAATATGTACCTGAATTAAAAAAATATCCAAGTGAATTTATTTATGAGCCCTGGAAGGCACCTAAATCAGTACAAAGGACTGCAGGTTGCGTAGTGGGTGAAGGTTATCCAAACAGGATTGTTGATCATGACAAAGTTCATAAAGAAAATATTCAGAAAATGAATGCAGCATATAAAATTAACAAAGAAAAGAAAGCTTTAAAAAGGAAAAGATAATTTTGTTGGAGTACATGAATTTTATATTGAATGAGTAATATTATATTGTAAGATCTGTTGTTTTGATAAGGTTATAAGATTCATAAATTTTATAATTATTAAACTAATTCTTTTATTCTCTAAATTTTTTGTTTTTAAAAAAATCTATCAACATAATATTTTTTGCTAGAATTCTGTTTATACAGGTACAGCAAACATCATTTAAAATTATATAAAAATAAAAACAAAATATACAATACACAAATATATTAACGTTAAAGATATGCTTATAGCTTTTATTGAACTTTGTTTAACCTCAAATTAATGTAAATAGATCATACGTGTAGCGCCCTCCTTTCAGGAAATCTTTCCCTCTGTTATCATCAATCATTGTCAATTTTATTTTATAGTTTATAAGCTGTATTTACTGTCAGCCGCCATGACATATTAGAAAACAAATATTTTTCTAAAATTACAAATACTATTCTACATTAAGTAAAGATAAAATATGTAGAAAAAGGAATGGAATATGTTAAGGATGGTGGGACCTGGATATCTAAGGTATAGTATATCCAAATTTTAAGACATAGTTTTGTTGTGGGCGGTCAATAAATGTTTATTGGCATTAGATTATTATATTATACGAAATATACTTAAATTATTAAATCATTAAAGGTAACACAATTAGTTACGTTAACTTGTATAATACTAAGAGAATCCGCGGCTTCGCTCGCGCTAAAACTACAAAAAAGTCTCTGAAAAGGTAGTAAGGTAGTTTTATACAAACTTTCATACAACCTATATATAATATATACCCTATTTTACCCCATAAAGGATTAATTTCAAAAAATTCTTAACACCTGTTTATTTAATTTTATTGAAGAGCATTAATACCAAGTTTCAAGTAATTCTGATCATAAATATTCTTTGGGTTGTATTTTAACGTGTTTTCCTTTGGGAATTAGGTAATCTTCCGCAGTTAAAAGTAGCCTATGTCACTCTCCAGCCCTCCAACTATCTCCACACAAAAAATCACGCAACACCGTCACTACAAACAAACACTTTCACATTTATAATATTAGTATCAATACTTACAATCATGCAAATCTGTAGTGGTCCTGGGATATTTTAAAATAATTTTCCTATGTAACACAGTTTCACAACTTAGTTATACTAGTAAATGATACGAAATGATACCAAACAATTGTAATGAACTGACGTCAAAATCACTTTAAAATTAATTTTTCCTTTTTAAAGGAATAGATTTTTTCTAAAAATTTATATTAGACCACCTTAAGTTATAATCTACTAGGTAATCACCCTCGCATCGCTCGGGGTAGTCCCTAGTGAAAATAAAAACAAATCTATCCCGTGGGAACTGCACATTATCCAGGACAAAAAGTAAGATTTCCGAGCTTAGTACTGAGAAATCCTACCATTTTATTTGTAGGACGATTTGATCATTCAATTATGCATATTTTTAATTATAAATACTATGAAAATCAGCCGATTAATGATGAATTTTATGGTGTTGTTATTTTAATAATTTCAGAGAGTCACAATCGTAAACAACCTGTTAATAAAAAAAAAATCCTACAATTCGTATCAATCCACAATTGCATCTACCATTATCAAATTTTCATAGAAAGAAAAGTTGGGTGTCTTGTCAAAATGCTACACATAGTTTTGGCTTGTTATTAAGCATTAAAAAACCCGTTGGGGTCTGTAGACTAATATATTAGTGTCATTAATAATATTATAACCATAAAGAGACTTAATAGTCAAAACAAAATCTTACTATAGATATTTTTGTTTATAAAAGCACTAGAGATTAAAAAGTAATGACATGTTCATTGTACATTATTGCAAAGAGTGCTGATTAGTAAAAATAAATATGTGTTTATTACTGCAATACCCTAGTAAATTATCATCAGTTTTTGTTTTGTTATGACATTACTATCTTAAGAAGAATTTAATTACTCGATAAATATAGTTCAATATTCATGTAAAATTATTACTGTTTTAAAATAAAGAAAAGTTAACAATAGATATTTTCATCAAGAAGTTGAAAAATCTAATATTTTAACTTTCATTTCACCTCAGTACCCCAAAGGTGTTACATTTGCATGCAATTGTTATTTTATACAAGTTCATGTCAAGTGTATTGAAATTAATTTACTCAGTATATTTTTAAACTGTAACACTAGGTATACAATGAAATATTACCAAAACACCGTATGTTACGAAATGACGATAAGCGTGTTGGATTTCAAACTGTTACATTTTTTTATTCGTCATGTTAGAATCACGTTCGTAACAAGTGACTCAAGCCTATTGGTGCCGAATAGTAAATACTTGTAGTACAAACCACAATTGTCCAATTGTAACCAAACTCTCTAATCTGCTGGATAATGGGATAAGAGGTTACTCTTCGCAAATTATTTCCTCTGTGACAATAGCTTAATAGACACTAGAAAGTCATAGCTATTACGCGTACGATATGTCCTGACTTATATCAAAAGTGGATAGATTATCATACCGCTACTATGAATGATAATAGAAATATTCCAAAACATACTATATAATATACATATTTTTGTATTTATACTTATTTATTTTCTCGGTTGATATTTCTAAATATTTATTTCTTTTGACTTGCATTATCAGTATCAGCATGCCTCTTATCATTATCTCTTATCATATTACTTACCTTTTAGAAGTATATCTAAATCTTTTTATTAATAATCTATTTTTTTTAATAATTATGTATTTGTTCAATAATTATGAAAAGAGTAGTTGTTCGGCCGGATACCGGATACCTGATAAATGGCGAGCTGTAAGGCCGGATAGCCGGATATTCGGCAGCGGGATAATAAACCTGTTGTCACGCTTCACAAAATAATTTTGTATTATTTATATTTACCTCACGGATTTTTTTGTGCACTTTATTAAACAAGTTAAGCGTAGTTTTTAAATACCCGGTATCCGACCGGATAGTCATTGGATATCCGTGTCATTTCTAGTTTCAATTATCAAAAATATGTGCATATATATAAACACTAGCGACGCACCCTCGCTTCGCTCGGGTTCGTCCCTACTTGCGTTTTAACGTTTAGTATCGATTTCTCAGAGATGAGATATTTTCCCGCTGTAAAAAGTATCGTATATGTTGACCCGGATAACCAGCTATCATCATACCAAATTTCATCAAAGTTCCTCCAGTGGTTTTTCCCTGATGTGGTTATAGACAGACAGACAAAAATTCTAAAAACTATAGATTTGGGCTCTGTATCGATAATAATGACTATTTCAATAAGATTTTCCAAAGAAATTTAATGTACAGATTCGACTTAGTTAGAATTTTATTATATGTATAGATGAATAATAATGTGTGTCAGATAGATTATAGACGATATGTGAATAGATATGATTTGACTGACTGAATTTTGGCTATTTCACTTATGTATATAATTAAATTTGTTTGTGTAGATCCAGATAAGAAATGAAAACATGATACATTCCAGTGGAAAGCATTTATCGGCCGTTGATCATCCAACATGAAGATTTGAATAAGTAGGTAAGTATTTTTGTGTTTACTGTACTGGCACTCTCCTACTTCTCTACTTTCCACCTTTTTTTTTTAATACGCCAAAATAAATTGTTTAACACTAGCCAATATCTGTCGCCATTATTTGTACTAATTATGCGTACTAATATGGGTAAAGAAATTAAAATTTTCTCGATAACTTAGATGTATAATGTATGGAATACCAAAGTTCGTAACTAAATTGAAACCTTTATTAATTGATCACAATAATGAATGCTTTCTTAAAAAGTAATAAATTTTAAATATACTTTTTTTTTTTAAATAACTTGAACTGTGCATATTATGTTTGGTAATTATTTGGATTTGGATGAAGTGTAGTACCTACACATATTATATGTAAACTGACCTGGACTAACATATAGGCTACTGAGAGGCGCCTAGGGACGAAAGAAAGAGACGAAGCGAAGCTTAATCGCTTTTTTTAAATATGTTTTTAACCGTGATAATGAAGGTGAAACAAGGGAAGGTGAAACGTGGTAGCGTCGTAAGTCATCCGTGTCTCAGGAGTCCATTTATTATACCTTACGATTTAGTGATTGATAGCATTATTAACTTATTAATTTAATTCTTCATTATTAATATTATATTACGTATTATTAGAATAAATATACATTTTATGAAGTCTTAATTGACTCACTCTATTGACTTTGACAAAGTACTTGCTTACTTATAATGCATTTGAAGAAAATAAAAATCTTATGTATAACATAAGATTTAAGTATAACTTATTACCTAAAATATAATATAAATTTAAGTATAACTTATTACCTACAAATGAACTTGACATAGTCGAATTTTAAGTTGAATTATTTTTATCATTAAAAATTCAAAAAGTGATTGTACCAATAATGTGTGCTCATGTAGATAATAATCACTGTTTCCAGACAGGAAAATAAAATTATTAAATACTAGCGATACAAACCCCCCCACAACTTTCATTTCATTTTCACCCACTTAAGGGATGATTTTCAGGATAAAAACTATCCTATGTCCTTCCCACACTTCTTACTGCGGGAAAATATCTCATCTCTGAGCTAAACGTTAAAACGTAACTAGGGACGAATCTAAGCGGAGGGATGTTGAGTCAGTAGTCTAACTAATATTATGTGTAGAATCTTAATGACTTAACGAGGTTCCGCATCCAAATGGCAAAAACGGAAGAACCTTGATAATTTCGCCATGTCTCTCTGTTCGGCTGATCGTCATTGAGATATAATAATAATCATCATCATCTCCCTGCTTATTTCTCAATCTTCCATACTGCTGATAGGATTTGGCAAAAGTTACGACCGGCCGCCTGTCTGACATCAACCCTCCTTGGGAATGCTATTGTTTATCGCGGAAAGGACCCAAGCTGCGATGACCAGCACATCTAATTTAGATTTCGGTATTAAAATTATCTAATGCCAGT